GCTAGTCGATCTATTATATATGTATAGATAAAGACACTAAATGTGTATGTGTTATTTGCTCATTGAAGATATACAGTGAGAAATTGAACGTTGAAAAAAAAAATTGATATTATATCAAAAATATTTTTGTTACTGTTCTTCTTGTAAAATGAGTGATGAATTATTAGTTTTTCTTTACTCATATTAATTTCTTGTATTCTAACTTCTCGGAAATTTATGATTTCTTTTTTTTTTTTTGCTGCATGTTTTTAAGTGGTTTTTTTTGGTTGTATCCGAGGAGTGTGAAACAGACAGGAAGAGCAGATAATCCATTCAAGAAGAAAACCTGTGGTGCTATATGTCTATATTCATTCTTTTTAAAAAAATATATATAGCTTGTCGATTGATATTGTTTTTTGTTATTGTTGTTAAAAGGAAACAAGGTAAAATTGCTCAGTTAGAAACAAAAAAAAAGATATATCACGTTTTGATTGAAACAAAAAAGAAACCCTAAAAGGTTATAAATCTCAGACTCGATTGAAATTGATATTAATCTTGAAAGTATAACCATGATATTTTGTCTGTGATATTTCAAATGTTAATTTATATTATTATTTTGAAAGAAAAAATGTCATGATGGTGTTTTAATGATCTGTACAAATTTATCAAAGTTGTAAGACAAAGAAATAATAAATGATCGATGTATTTTTCCTATAATAAGTAAAAAAAAAAAACAAAAGTTTTTATAAATAAAGTATTCAATTTTCTCATTTGTAATGTTTCTGGAATATGATGCTATTGATCTCGAAAATATAAGAGAGTCAGTTCAATTTTCTTATTTGAAACTTCTACATGTTCATTAACATTTATGCTTTATAAAAATTGTAATCTAATGAATCTATATCTTCTAAAAAATGAAATACAGATTGGAAATATAACTGATCTTGTTTTCGACATAAGAAATAAAAAAAAAAATCTATTTATGTACTATATGTCTTACACAAAATATCAAATTTCAATCAAAATAATGAAATCGAAAAAAAAAATTAACAGCGTCAGAACAGAAAAGAAAAAAAACACAGTCAAGATTTATTAATAATTCAATGACACGAAGATATCTTATTACAATAAACTAGTAATAAGTTTCGAATGAAATTTACAAGTAGAAAACTTTTATTCACATAATGTTTAGTGTGACTATATCATCATTAAATCTCAATCAATAGAAACACTTCTGCAACCAAAAAAAAAAAAATCAATAATTTTATTTATGAATATCGTAACAATGATAAGAAAAGTGGTCTACAAGGCAAGTCTCCCAAAGGATAAACCTGCTTATGAATCGAGACAATATGCATTATGTAAACTGTAATAAACTATGAATATTCTGATAAGAGCTCGTGTCCTTAGCTTATTGACACTGATGGCTCGACTGGGGATATAACACTTCCTCAATCGGGGAAAAATTTTATTTGTCCCCAGCCGAGCTGAAATTCTCTTTCTACATTCTTCTCCCTTCGCAAAAATTCATGACACTTCTCCAATGTTGACTGCTGCGGAAATACTGCACTTTGACGATAGTTTTTACATAAATGTCATGAGCTTCGTCAGAAACAATAGGAAAAACTGATTTTTGATTTTTGATTTAAAATTTTGCATAGAGAAAAATCTTAATGAGGAATAGTTTAATGTGAAAGCTTCAGATCTTTTCGTTGTGACCATCGGAAGATACGTCTATGGTAAAAATGTATTTTTTACATTGCTCATGTACACTGATAGATTCGATGTTCTTGTTTCAGAATAGGAGTACACTAAAAAACTTGAAACTTTCACAATAAACAATTCTCGTTAAAATTTGTCTCTTTACAAAGTTTCAAGACGAAATTCGAAAATCAACTTTTTCTGAGAAGGAGCACGACATTCATTGAAAAAACTATCGTAAAAAGTACATTATCTCTGCACCAATAACTGTAAGAGTCTGAATATTGTTCACAGTATTCATAGTTCAATAGAGTATACATGATGCACATAGTCTCGATTCAAGCATGATTAATCAGTTGAAGAACTTCTCTTGTCCGAAACAATTCTTATCAGTAGTATTGTCTTTTTTTTTGCGTTCTCTTTTATTCATTGCACAAAAATTTCTTTTTGATAACATATTGAAATAATGAGATAACAAAAACTTTTGATGCATATTTCATTTACGGTAACAGTATCACATTTTTTTTTGTATAGACATCATTGTTATGAATTGTTGAACTTTACATATTATTATTATTATTTTTTTTTTTTGCATAGGAAGAATCATGAACTCGGATAGTCAAAAGAAATAAGACGTTTCTACGTCATTCATGTAATATTACATGACAGTTCTTACGAAGTATGATGCAAATATTAAAGAAATACTAGAACAGCATCTGGTAAGAAAAAAACAATAAAAGCATTTGAAAATTTTACATTGACAAGACCTCATAGAGATAACCTAGAGTGTTGACACGGTGAAATTTTCTTTTATAAACAATAATATATGATATATATTACAGAGACTAAAAGAAAGAAACTATTCAAAAAAGCATTCATTCAATTTGTTACCTTGATGTTAACATATAATTTTTTTCTTTTCTATTGTTTCTTTTTTTTTCTAAAATATTAATAATTACTTATGTTATATGTTTCTTTAAAAATCATGATTATCGTAAGAAATAGTCGTTTTTTTTTAAAAAAAAAAGAAATTCTTTTTCGTTTGAGCAAAAAAAAAGTTTATAGTGATCAGTCTTTTTTGTTTTTTTTTCTGTTCGATAACCTTTAAATTAAAACAAAAAAAAATAAACAAATGATAATATCAAAACCGTCTGTTTTATTATGTCAATAGAAAGTTGACATTTTGATTTTATAACAAATTCTATTATATTGAGTCTTTCATTGAAGTATACAATAAAAAGAATATATTTGTATATTTTATTTGATCATATGGTTGTAATTTTGTCAAGAATAATATTCTGTTATTCTTTAGAATCGATTTGTAGAGCAGGTCATCCGAGATTTATATGATTATGTCATGACAACCAGATGTAATACTAAATTTTGACATGAAACCTTATGATAAATAAAGAATTATTTGAATTAACAGGATAGATAAAAACAGATAGCTCTTTAAAAAAAGAAGTAATAATTGACTGACGATAAGCATGCTTAAAATAAAAAAAAGAACAAAACATTCTAACATGCAATATATCGAATAAGAAAATACAAAGATCTAGAACGAAAAAAAACACGTGATGGTAGATATGATAAAAGATCTCTCTATATAAATATGAATATAGGTAAAGAAGAGAAGGACATAAATTTGGAGAAGAAAATATACTGTTGATGATTGCTTACTTTCGAAAAAAATGTTTTTTCAAAGATAAAAACAAAAAAAAATTATTTTACTAATTAAATATATCCAATCCATGAAATAGCGGCATCTCCAGTTTTTACTTATATTGGCCAAAAGACGGTAACTTCATCAGTACGTACATACAATCAATCGTCATTTCATTGCATCCATCGGTCTCACATATCCACACATATTATTTATTCAGTTCTCTTTTTCCTTTTCTGTTCGCTTGATTATTAAACAGTAAAACGACTGAATGATGCTCTCATCATTATCATACTGTTCTTTTGCTTTACTTTAATAGAACACTTATGTACGTATTCATAAAGATCATTCTTTCTTTTACTTATTTATTCTATATGAATTTTTTATTTTCTACATTAATATATATCAGATACTGCTCTTGATTAGTCATTCATTCATTTGGAAGAGACATTATCAGTATCGAAATAATGACTTTTAAATAGGTTCTACTATACGACATAGTAATGGTACCAGCTGTTATTATTAATTTTATTCTAAACAAATACGATGAGTAGAACTACTAAGAACGTACATACATTCCTATTTGTGTACGTGTTTGATAATAATAAACTAAGATGAGAAAAATTCGATTACGTTTAGTTGGTTATAGTTGTTTTTTTTTGTCATTGTTCGTGTCTTAAGAAATAATGATGAAATAGAATGATTCATTTCGATAATGATCGACAGTTGACAGTTGTATATAGAAAAAGAAGAACATTCATCTTGCCTTCAAGTTCACTTCAGAATCTCCGGAAGTTACATCATATTGATGATGAGATGAATGAAGCTAGACCTGTTTATGTTCATCTACATTGTTATCTATTCTCTTTCTTCTTCTTCTTTTTTTTCTTTTTCTTCTTTCTAATCAATATATATATATATAATATTCTTTTAATGTCTACTGAGTTTTTCTTTCGTATACTGATAATCAAAGAGATATATAACTGTATGAAAGAACATATTGTATAGATTTTTCATGTCAATGCATGCGAAACATATGACAACAATCAGCTTGAAGCATAGGATTTGAGTTATTTGAGATGAGATGAGAAGCATGTATACTCGTGCATTCATATAGATAGTGACGGATGGAAAAAATTGCCTCACTAACAGAATTATGACATGTGCGTGCAATCACAAAGATGAATACAATTAAGGAAATCTATATTGTTCTCATGCTAAGTGAGTCTTTATAGCTCTCTCTATTAAGCATCTTAACAAACTAAATTCTTTACTCTGATCCTATCTTTACATATGACAATGAAAGTATGAAGTGTCATCGCTTTCGGTTGGTTTTTTGTTAGATTAACAATCTTATTTCTTTTCCTTGTAACATATATACATAGAGCATATGTATAATATCTAATAGTAGCCCAAAAAAAAAAGGGCAAACCACTTTTTTTATATCTCTAATATAGTATCTTTCTCACGTATGAATATATATATGTACGTGAAAAAATGCCATTATACTCATTTGTCCTTCGACTTTTTTCTCTCTTATCTTTTTAGCATAAACATTGAAAGCATCTGTGTCACATTTCATCTATCCAAATGACGATTATATTGTGAATAGAATTTATTTCAATAAAAAAAATGCTCTATCGATCGATATTATTCGATGGGCAATAAAAATTCTTCATCACATTTAACAAATCATCAAAGTAAACGTTCTTTTCATCACCAAAAATCAAATCATTATATAACAAATAACGACCATATTTACTCTAAATTTGATACATCATCATCATATCAAAGTAGTAATAGTAAAAAGCATGGACCATCACCTAGATTTCGTCGTCGACATGCGCGACAAGTACATCTCGATAAGAAATCAAAAAAGGCACAGGTATGATTTTGTATGCTCAGGTGATTTTGTTTGCATTTCATTACGTTTTTTTTTATTGATTTTTATTGCTCATATTGATAAGAATAGTCTCTAAAGTGTACAACCTGTTGTGACATAAGTGTTAAAAAAATGAAAAGAACATAATACACGAGAGCTTTCAAATAGAAAAATGTAATAACGATGCATGAAATGAAACTTTGATGTCGTTTATATGAGAATGAGTGTATATTATTTCTAGTTTAGCACTAAAAAAAAATATGTGTACATATGAACAGATGAAATTTGCAATTTTATTTTCATTTGAAAGAAACTCAGTTTTTTATTTTATATATATGTATACATGTGAATTAATATTTGATGTGTTAAAATATAGTTGTCAATCTTTATTTGATGGAGAACTAAAAAATATTAAATTGATTTTCTTTTGTATAAAAATAGAATATTCTTAAATTGTAGCTATAATATAGTTAGAATGTTAAACAATTAATTATATATTGTTAATAAAACTTAATTAAGAGTTTTTATTTTATATGAATACATTTAATGAGAATATTTCAAAGTTATCAGTTTGATGAAGATATAAAAATTTAGGTGTGTTTTGTCTAGCATTCAAGGATCATTATGTAAAGTTTGTTTGTTTCTTCATTTTGAGAGGTTGTTTTTTGTCCTTCAAATCGTTTACATCTTAAAATGTCGTTGATAATTTGTTTACTTTAATACATCACTTGAAAAACAAGTTAGTAGTCATCTTTTACAAGGACATGATAACTTAAGAAAACTTCATAATCACTAAAGTTAATGTAATTAAATCTTCTCTTTGAAGCAATGGGGAACAAACTGATTTCTATGCTAGAAATCAAAGAAAATCATTCTAAATCATAGAAAATTTCCAATAATAAGATTAAAAGAAGAGTCACAGTTGTTATTGATTTATAATGATATCTCGTAATTTTCTTTCATTTCTAGTCATTGCTGATGATTCCTTTTGATTCGCGATGAACAGATAAAAAGTAATTTCTAGTGATAGAGATCACTAGAAATCAGAGAAATCAGTTAATTCCTTCTTGCTTTGAAGTCATATAGCAAAACGAGTGTTGATATAGAATAACGTGTAATCTGATCGTACTAAAAGATACAAGAACAGAATGAATTAAGAGGAAATATAACAACCTTGAACTGTTAGATTGTTGTATTGATCATCGAAATACTGAACATACAGAATTTCATACTAATGGGATTTTCTATCTTTTTTTATAATCTCTTTAGACAATTTCATCATATCTTAATGTTAGTCTTCAATCAATTGGTGATCGAACAATTAGTTTATTTTCTCGCAGTTTTAATTTTCTTCATCCATCATTATCGTCATCTCCAATATGTTTATTAGATAATAATAATCGTCAAGAATTATCAATAACAAATGAAAATAATCATGAATTTCATATTGGTACACATTCAGGTGTATATAGAAATCAATCACGTCGAAAATATCAAACATCATCATTAAGAAATCCATATCGACGTTCAAGTACAAATTTTCCTGTACATGGACATGAAGCACTTTTTTTACCAGAATTTTCCATTAAAGGAAAAATAACAGAAGCTGATTTTGAAGTAAAAATAAATTAAAAATTTCTTTTATATTTTCTATGATATGAAATTCTTTTCTTTTTGTTATTTTTTTTTAATACTAGGTTATTGATATTATTGCACGAGGTGCCTTTGGAAATGTGATACAAGTATGTTCTATACATGATAGACAAACTTATGCGATGAAAATAATGAGTAAATCACAAATTGTGAAAGATAATGCTGTTCAACAAGTCAAAGGTAAAATTTTTATGATAATGAAAATATTCGAAAGAAAGAAAAAAAGACATGTTGGTTTTTCAAACAATAGAAACTATTATTTGATATATTCCATGCTAATCAAATCAAAAATTGTTTTATTATATATTCATGTTAAATGTATTTGACAAACACGATATAATTTATTTATAAAATATTTCATAATAGAACAAGAAAACAAAACTCGAAAGATCTGATAATTTGATAGGAAAGAAATAATAATCTATTTAAATAAGTACTTGTGACGTATTTGAAACCAATAAAAAGTCGGTCGGTTTTATGATATAATTTAATCTTACGAGAGAATCTCTCCAGATGTGAATTCGCTTTGCGTTCGGGACGACGTACAGTTGATGAGCGCTAGTCAGTAATAGAAAACTTCAGAATCGTTCGTTTGTTCGAGTCTTCGTTCTTGAGATATCGAAATTTTACTGTTTGTTTTTCAATAAAAAGCTGTGATCACGTGAAAAAATCAACTTTTGACTTCAAATTTTGCACGAAAAAATTTCTTAATAAAATTACTTGATTATACAGCTAGTATTTCCTTTGTGAAGATGTAAATATATGAATAAAATTTGTTTTTACATATGAGAAAATTTCGAATATTTTAGAACAGGAAATACTATAGAAAAGTTATAACTTGCTCAATGAATTAATCTCATTGAGAATTTTGTTCATGTAAAGGTTGAAGGGGAAAGTCAATTTTTCACATGATCACAATTTTTTTGTTGAAAAATTCAGTAAAATTTCGATATGTCAAGAATGAAGGCTTACAAAACCAAACTATTCCAGACTTTTCTATTACTCTCTAGTACTCATCAAATGAATATCGTCTCGTTCGAAAAGCAATTTGACATCTGGAGAAATTCCCTTGTAAATGATTAAATATTTAAAATATGAATATCCAAAAATATTTTTTCTAATCAAGACACTCAAAATAGAACAACAAACCCTATCGATGCATAATCTTTCATTGTCATATTGTTTTTTGTATTTCAGGATTATAATTTAAAAGATTCTCTAAAAGTAAAACGAGCTAATATTGCTTATTCTTCTCAGATAGTAGAAATATAATACAAACTAGCTAAAAATTTCACATTGAATAACCAAAACAATATTTTTTTTTCTTACAAATAGTTATAAACAGGCAATATGTTTTTTGCCATCTATCAGTATGTTTTCAACAAAATGACAAAAAAAAAGTTTGTCATGACGAACGGATAAATTCTTTCATTAAAAGCACATAAAAGCATGCGAAAACAAATTGTCAAATAAGTGAAGATTTCAAAAAAAAACCAAAAACTAAATATTAAACATTTTGTACAAAAAAAAACAGATATTTTCAAAATTTTAGATGAAGTGACAATAGCACAATCATGTCTTTCTCATCCATTTATTGTACATACACATTTTTATTGGCAATCTCGTCGTTATTTATACATAATAACTGATTATGTAGAAAATGGTGAATTATTATCTTTATGGTTACGTATACGTCGTTTTCCTCAATTAATTGTTAAAATTTATATAGCTCAAGTAGCTATGGTGCTTGATTATTTACATAGGAATGGTATTATATATCGAGATGTTAAAATGGAAAATATTTTACTTGACGAAAATGGGAATATTAAAATAATTGATTTTGGTTTATCTAAATGGCTTTTATTAGGACAAAAAACATCAACAATATGTGGAACATTACAATGTAAATTAAACAACAAAAAAAAAACAAAAATCATATATATTTTTATTTTTCTATAATTTAGATATTGCTCCTGAAGTTCTTAGTGTTCGACCATATGATCATCGTGTTGATTGGTGGAGTTTAGGTATTCTTATGTATGCATGTTTATTTGGTGAATATCCGGTGTCAGCAACAAAAGATCATGTAACAATGGCAAATAAAGTATTAAATCATACATTTAATTTACCATCAATAGCACTTGAAAATAAATTTCAAGTTAAAGAATTATTATTACATTTATTAGAAAAAAATCCTAATCAACGTTTATGTTCATTAGATGAATTACGTCAAACATCATTTATGTCAAAAATTGATTTTAATCATATTTATTCTAAATCTTATTCACCATTAGAAATTTTAATTAATACTAAATCTCAATGGCGTAATGAACTTATATTACATTATAATTATCGACAAAAAGAAATAAAAAATAAAAAAAATTCATCATCATCAACATCATCATCATTATTATCATCATCAATTCGAAATAAAAAAGTTTATCAAAATATTGACAACCATGTTTTCCAGAAATTTTCGGAGTGAATCTTTTTATTATTTTTATTTGTTGTCATTTTAAATATAACTTTTTAATTGTTTACTATGAATTTTTGTATTATTTTAAAATAATCTATTGGATGTTTTTTTTCGTTTGTTGTTTTTGTTTTTTGAATTGAATATAAAACAAGTGAAATTAATTTTAAAAATCAAACTTTTATGTACTAACTTCAAGTATTTATACTTCATTATCAAATTAAAGTCTTCTTTTCTCTTTGAATTGCTGAATGAAATATAGAGATAGCTACGGCTCTTTTCTGGCTCATACCCGGATCCAGGTCCACAAAAATATGAGCTCGCAGCTTTCTAATGGAGTATGTTAAGAATGCAGCGATGAGCGCAGTAGAGATGCACAGAGTAAACTTTTTTTCGTACCCTGTACTCTGACTAAGAAAAATATTCTAATCCTTACCCTACCATCCAGAGTATGGTAGAGTAATCCTGTACATTTCTAGAACTCAATGAAAGCCTTAGACAATGACTGGTATATTAGCATCGCTAGCTTCTCTTAGTATAAAAGCGTTGGAATGATAGAAAATAAACCGAGTCAGTTCCGAAAAATAGATTATCCACAAAAATTATGATAATATTGTCTTTATGAATATTAGTTTTTGAAGTTAATGATTGGATATGAAACTGAAATATCTCTATATTGATAGTAAAATTCAATTGAGTTCATATCACCATCATTCATTCATTTAATACTCTGTAAATATGCAAATATGAATGAAAAATGATTAATGTTTATAATTCTACATGCTTCGAAATGTTAGAAGATATATTTGCTTATGTCATTTGTCAGCACATCAATGAATAATCAAAACAAAATTATTGATTAGAAAAGAAATTGAATAGAAGTACAATATATCGTGACAAAGAAAAAAACCATTCTTGTTGACGTCCTGATAAAGGAAGAGAAATCATATTTCGAATGAATTGATAAGAAATAAATATAATTGCATAATAGAAAAGAAATGAATACTTGAAAAGATTGCAATATCAAAAGTTTTTTATGACGAAAAAGAAAGTCTGAAAATCCTTCAAAATGTCTATAAAAACAAAAATAGATATTCATATTGACTTCAAATAGGCATTCTAAATCGGAGAACACCACAAGACGATTGTCTTCGTCATACCCCGCATTGTCACTCAGTCATCCTGTTTTTCAGGACGCAGCACCCTCCTACATCTGACAGGCAGGACGATTTTTTCAGTGCATTTTTGACAAGAATAAAAATTTGTCTGTATGTCAGATATCATAGACGTGCTATTTATACAAACATCATTTACAATATAATTATATCAACAAACCATAGTATATGTTTTCTAGCAGAAAAAATGAAATGAACAACAGCAAAAAAAATACTTGACCTTCAAAGAATGAACAAGATAATAATAAAACAAACATAAAGA